TTGAAGCTGTTGATGACCAGTTATGTGATATCATTGTGTGTGATATATGTGGAGATGTAGGCTATGAGCACTTACTTGCTATATGTAGTAGATGTATGGATGGCGCCGAACACACATATTGTATGCAGAGCATTAAAGATGAAGTACCTAAAAATGATTGGTTATGTGAAGATTGCAAATTTGGTGTTGTTTACGATATTACAAGGGTTCAAGTGGAACCATTCAACAATCAAACCACCAAATCTAAAAATGAAAAGAAGTTTTTGAATACACAAACAGAAGATGACAAGCAAATAAAAATTCCAAAATTAGCCCTACAAGATGAAGTCATTATACTTTCAACTTAGAAAGTTATGAATGAAGAAGATTGCATGCAAAACGAAATTCCACAACTACCCTTGGAACAAGAATACATTATCTATGGAAATGAGAATGCACAAATGAATTGGTGGATGAACTATGGCCAACGGATGATCGTCGACACCAATGGCTCTTTCTTGGGTGAATACAAAAAAAATAGATAAAGACTTTTACATCAGTATAATCTAATATAAATTACAAATATAGATTAGGTTAATTATTGTGACATACTACTTTATGAAGGTTTAAATTCAAATAATAGTAATGTACTTTGTATTGGTTGATTATTATAGCACCCTACTTTTGTTTTTATCAAAGTACTTCCATTTTATTTACAGGGCTGTTTGGTATTATATTTATATTCATTGGTTTTTATGGCAATAAAGCATATTATTGAAAGTACATTATTATAAAACGGCTTTTCACAAGGCAACATGTGTTTTATAAGAAAATGAAAGTATAATGTTATAAATTGAATACTTTTCAAAGTAATATACTTACATAACAAACAATTGTATTAAAGGGTTGTTTGGTATTAATTGTAAACTCATGGGCTGTTTTGGTAAATAATTATATATTCATTGGCTATTTGGTAATATATTTTACCCTAAAAAACAATATATATATATATATATATATATATATATATATATATATAATTAATATTATCCTTTTATTTATCCCAAACTTATACTATTTATCCTTTATTTACTAAAATATTACTATAACCAAAACATTTTAAAATTTTCAATTTTTTTTCATCATTACAAACTTTATTATTTTTAAACATTCAACCAAGGCATCAAATAACATCCTAATATCATAAATTTAATTAAGTTTCTATTTATTATGGGTAAATTAAAGTAGGTTGTTATTTCTTAGGATAATTCATATATTTTTAATTTGGTTTTCTGGACAGCACATGTCATATAAATACTTTCATTATAATATTGTACTTTAAACTTTTTCAATGTACAATGTGATTACAAGGAAAATGAAATTTTAATGCTATAATTTAAAATTATATATTTTAGATTTAAAATATCCATCTTTTAATTTTATAAATTTTGAAATTTAGATATTTAAAAATGGATATTACATAAACAAGAAACAAAATTAGTATATTTGACATTATCCTAAGTTTAATTTTGAAAAACATATCCTAAAACTTTCAACAATATCGAACCTATCCTAACTACATAAATGTTGGTTGTTACATTGATATTATCCTACTTTTAAATTTATAAATCTTATCCTACTTATCTATCCAAACAAGTTGTAAAATTCAAATATAAAACTTATATATTCGAATATTAATCTTATCATATTTATTTATCCAAACTAATTATAATATTTAAAATTCAAAATTTAAATAATACATATTTTATCCCTTAATAACAAACAAACTTTATCAAAAAAACATTATATATACCTAAGTACTGCCGCCATATTCCAACCTATATATCAGTCAAATTCAATAGCCCAACTATCAAAAAGTATGTTCAACTATTTGTTATTGTTTTGCTTTTCATTTTAAATTTATGTTGAGTTATATTAACTCCTAATCTTTTCCTCCTTGGCAGCCATCATGCAGGCCTTTAACATGGATGTAGAGACAACAGAACATGAATAGTAATTTGAATGACTTTTGCTTATAGAAAGTTGAATAGTAGGTATTTTATCTTTATGACTCTATGGTTTTAGATGCTTTGATATTGGTATTTTATGTTTTTTATGATTATTATTGAATTTTATGGTTTTTGAATCATACTTTTCATACTCTATTTGCTTATTCGTTATTGTTTATTATGGCATCCTACTTTCATTTCTTATTACAACATTCTAAAATTTCTTTAAATAAATACAATGCATTATTTAGAAAAATATTGAAAGCATAATGTTTTTTTATAAAGAAATGAAAGTAAGATGATGTGATTTTCAGGAACCTCATAAGAGATCCACTTTTTAAAATTATAAAAGAAAAAGTAAAATAAACTCGAGTCAAATGTGTCTTAAATAGAAAATTCAGTTCGATAACATGGCTTTTCCAAATGAAATCTGTTTTTAATAAGGAAACGGAAGTATAAAGTTATTATTTAGGCTTTTCAAAGTAAGCATCTTACATATTAAACAACATGTACTAAGGGGTTGTTTAAAACTAATTTTAAACTCAACAGCTGTTTTGAAATATAATTATATATTCATGGGTTGTTTGGTAATATAGTTTACCTCATGGTCTGTTATGGTAAAAAATATTGATTTAATAACCTGATAAATAAATGCGAGAATACAATATTTCAACCTAATAAATAATTCCATAATCATTCATGATAATATATCTTTTTTTCTTTATTATCATGCATTTTATTTTGAAAAGTTAATTGAAAATCCATTTTAAAAACGTCAGGGGCTGTTTTGGTAAATAATTACATATTTATTGGCCCTTGGTATTATTGTTAAAGTCATGGGCTATTATTGTTTCTTATAGCATCTTACTTTCATTTCTTATTACAACATTGTATATTTTTAAAAGTACAATGCCTTATTGAGAAAAACATTGAAAGTATAATGTCGTAATACATAGAACTGAAAGTATGAAATGCAATTCGAGAAACAAAAACAATATAATGGTAGATACTATTAATACTTACCTATTCCTCTTTATGCAAAATCTCATCAGTCTCCTGGATAAAACATACCTGCAATGACAAACAAATAATTGAATAAAGTACATGGTTTTTCCAAATGAAATGTGTTTTTAATAAGAAAATGAAAATACAATGTCATAATTTGAAGACTTTTCAAAGTAAAATGCTTACAAAAGAAACAATATGTATTAGGGGCTGTTTGGTATTAACTTTAAACTCGGGGACTGTTTTGGTAAATAATATACTCATGGGTTGTTATAAAAATTATCCTTTTTCCAAACTAACCATCAACATTATCCTAATTTTAAATTTTAAAACATAATCATCCTAACTACATTTTTAAATTCAAAATTTAACAAATGGATAAAATCATTTTTATCTTATCCCTCTAAAACCAACTTGAATTCAATATATATATATATATATATATATTATACCTTAATATATATATTTGGTCAAAGGCTGAAAAATTAAGAGGTACAAACCTTTATGCAACTTATACAATAAAGTTATGCAGTGAAAAAATAAAATTCTTAATTGGTCAATATATGTGTTAAACCTCAATTGATCTTGACTTGGTCTCCATTTCTTATCCATTCCCTAACAATTTTTTTTGAAAGTCGGCATTGAATGCGTTTGACTCGGATCGAGTTTGTTGAATCTGAGATCGTGGGAGATACTCTTGGAGTTTGGCCGGTCTCCTATGTATCCCTTATATCTTTCGTCTTTCTGTTGAACTTCTCCATCGCCTTCCTTCGTCTCCACACTCTTTCACCACCTTCGTCCATCTCTTTTCCTCCCTCTCTAACCTTAAACCAGACTAGATTTAAATACCCCTGACGACTGCCATCACAACATCTTTTACCACGGCTATCACCATAATCTACAACACCAAGGCAGATGGACCTCGACAAATGGAATTCTTTCTCAGCTTGATTTTATTGTCAATCGAGCCTTGGCTTTACATTTTTGTTTTCAGGTAGACAACATGGAAACCCACATCATCGGCTCTCTGTTTCACTCTCTCTCCAATCAAGCTAAGTTTTTATCTTCTTTGTTGAAATTTATATGTTTGAAGCTTTCTTTTGTGGCTGATGTTTATTTGTATGATGCTTAAGGCTTTGGTTCAGGTTTGATTCTTATCTTATGCTGCTTCCTTCTTTCTAAATCGCCTTATTTTTTAACAAAATTGAATCCGTATGGACCGATTCCTAGCACATATTGAGGGCTATAGCTATTTTGAAATTTGAATCCTCAAATTACCTCATGTCTCGCTCCATCCCTTTATAATTGATTACCAAATTATAGCAGAATCATCCGCTTTCTTCATCTTAGACACATCCAACTTTTCTTAGGTTTAGTTCCAGCCATCGTCAGCAACAACGGAGACCCACCCCAGTTTTCCGGCAACAACCGCTAACCGCCGCATTAGCCGACCACTACATTTCAGCCATAATCGCACCCCTACACTGCCATTTGCAGCCGTCACAGTCCTCCCCAGCCCACATCTCAGACAACCAACCCCAACCTTGAAATCGTTGCTACCACCGCCGTACCCCTGCATTACCAGGTATTTCATATTAGAAATCTCTTAGCCACCGACGCCGTTTTTCTCCATCTTCGCTGATTGGTCAGAGCATCGAATATTTACCGAGTGGATTATCTATTCCCAGTGGTTTATGTCTATTCCCAGTGGTTTATGTCTAATAATGTCCAGAAACATGAATGTTGAATCCTGATTTAAAACGCAGCCGCCCCATTTACTCATTGATCGATTTATGTTGAATCCTGGTATTTCCCCTTATCCGCCTTCATAATCTGGAAATGGACCAATCAATTTCACTCAGTTCTAAAATAGGCACAGTGTTCGATCATGTTATACATGTCGAATTCTCTTAGTTGTACAAACTAATTGATTTCTTGCTTCTCGGTCTGATCAGGTTAAGCCTTTAAAATCGATTTCTCAGTTCAAGGTACATACGAATCAAATTCATGCTCTCCCACGCCATCTCACAGCTTCATTTTCAACAATCCCACGTCGTCCCAAAACTTAGTATGAAGATGAGTTCGATTTTTGTTCCAAACATTACATATTTGGGAGTTAAATCGATTTCTCACTTGAAGGTGCACACTAAATCCGTCCCATAATTTCTCAGTGGTAGGAATCTTTTGACTTCTCAAATGTTTTATTTTGAAAATTTTATGCTTTACTTTATTCTTGGAATTGCTTGGAAATTATGTAATGCTTGGAATATATTATGTTTGGATCAAGTTTTGTTTTCATATGATTTTAAGCTTCGAATTCCTAGGATATTATGTGATTTTGGTACAGATTATGCTTGGAACAGATAATTCTTGGATCAAGTTTTGTTTACATCTCCATTTCAGGTTCTGATGTTCGTCTGTATTTCAAGTACCCATTTATATATTAAGTGGTTCATAGGTTCCGGTGTTTCATATTAAGTGGCTTATTTAATATTATGAATGATTTTTATATAATTTTGTTGTTTTATGGTTATACAGGAAGGCTCTGTAGATAGTAGGTTATATATGTTCCAAGATTCTATGATGTTTTGCAACAGCTAAAAGGGCACAAAAGGCACAAAGGTCACAATTTTACCAGTTTCTTTATTTCCCAATTTTATCATTTTGATGTATTTTTTAATTAATCAATATATTAAACCATGTTCTAATTTGGGATGTTGAAGCTCAGCCCAATGTGCATGTTGTCATGGGTTCCATTGAGTTCCGTCTTGATCTGGTGGGGATCATTGTACACAATCACAACACAGTTACAAAATCTTCACTTCCATCTTTTATCTTTCCTTTATGTTATCATCTTTCTTTATTGTAACATGCAATTATGGGTGTTGTTTTTCATATCAGTCTACATAATTATATCTATAAATAATTACTTTTATACCCTTCACCTTGCAGATTTTGACTGGTCATCAAGAAAATGCAGAATTTGTTCTTGCTATGATTGGGTAGATTTTTCTTTGTTTGGTTTCATGTATCTTGTAGTGGCTTTGGTTGTTTCTCTTTTCCAATGTTGGTGATCTTTTCCTATAAATAATTACTTTTATACCCTTCACCTTGCAGATTTTGATCGGTCATCAAGAAAATGCAGAATCCTGGTATTTCCCTTTGTGTCTTACATGCTTATGTTGAGGGCGATTATGGTTAATCTTCGTTGTTGTTGCCTTATGTTCATGGGATGCATTTGTTCGTTGGCTCTTTCTTTCTTCTAGCTATTGGTGAGTTTTTTGTTTTTTTTTTTGGCATGGTGGGTGGTTATGCCCTTGCTTTCTATGTGTTTCTACAGTGTGTTTTTTTGCTTCACTTCACAGATGATGTTTAGATAATCAGAAAGCAATTTTTTAATAAGAAATTATTTTGAGAGGAAACCTTAATGGGAATCTCAAGGTCGCATTTACCCTGTGTTATGAAATTTTTGCATAACCATCTCTATTAGCATCAAGAAGTTAAAACGTTTCATTTTGGTTTTGTAGAAATCAAAATGGCAGGGTTTTAGGAAGAACAATGATGAAATAACATGACAAGTACATGTGACATTTTGTGCAATATCTAACTTGTAAACTAACTATGAGGTGTCTAACTATTTATAATTCAGATGTTTTTTTTTCAATCAGAAGTAGGGAAGTAAGTTGCTATTACTTATGGCTAATCTCTTTCTCTTTCTTGACTCAAAGAGGTAAAACGCCCATATTACTCTCTCTACATGTGTGTGTGTGTGTATTTGTTTAGTTTATTGAGTTATTAACGAGTTTCCTGCCATAGGAATCATGATTAGTCAAATAATTTTCTGTATCAAGTTATACGAGAGTTAATGATAGATTCTATGATGTTTTGTTTGGAGTGTTTTGCCTTTTTATTAATCTTTTCTAAGCTGATAGCAAGTGATAATGTTGGAATTGTGTTACAACATAATATACTTAATATTTTTTTTGCCTTATAAAAGGCATTGTACTTTGAGAAAACTAATTATCAATACATTGCACTTCATTTTTGTTTCCTTACTAATATTGATGCATTTAATTTAGGCAATGTAATTATGAGGACAATTCCAAAATTTTCAAGCAACCCCTTTCATAAAGGCAATGTACTTATGGGGTTATACCAGAAATAACATCAGAATACTTTACTAAGTTTTCAAGCATACATCAGACCATAAAGTGTGTTTCCCCTACAAACAGGATTATCCTCATCCCATGCATGAAGGTAATATACTTATGGGGCTATCCCGAAAATAGCATCGAACTATTCTAAAGTGTTCAAGTATACATCAATAGAGTCTTGTGATGTGTACATGGAGCTGCAACTTCATGCCATATATATTTACATCCACAAACGCAGGGAGTTAGTGGCATGTATGTCCATGGTGCTTTTGATCCCAAGGTGTTGTGGGGAAACGCTATGTTTTCTTTATTATCAATAATATGCTGATGGAACAAACTTTTAATTTTTACATAGTAATCTTGGGTGCTTCTTGATTCTAACTTGGATGTTGAGAATAATGATGTTTTAGGTGCACAAAAAAGCTACAATAAGAAATTTAGGGCATTCCATTCTGCAACGTTTCAATGCAAAAGGATCAATTTTACAATTTTACCCTTGGGGGTGCTCTTTTTCATCACAAGGTTTAAATTTAAGTTTGTCGCTTTCTCAAATTGGACGGATTTGCATTGTAGTTGATTTTAATGCTATCTGATGATGATTTTAAAATTTTGGACAAAACTATCCTTGCTTCAGGTTTTGATGTCTTCTATATATATTTGGATAGAGTGTAATATGGTATTTTTGCCTATATTAGACAATTTTGTCCCTAATGCTGATGTTATTGTTTCTGTTTTTTATGGGGATATTTCGGAATATGCCATCTTTTTTTTATCAATTTTTTACAACAAACTTTGATTGACTTACAGGTAATTAGAATATAGAAATTTATATGATAATATTTTTATTTATAGCCTTTTCATTTGTAAATTTTTCCTTTTATAGGTTTAACATTTAAATTTAAAATTTTTATTGTCTTTATCATTTTATTAAATCACTTTATCTTATAATTGTGATATATATATATATATATATATATATATATATATATATATATATATATATATATTTGATTTTTGCTTCTCTTTTTAAGACTTCTATGTCCATATTATATTTCTATGTTAATTAACTTTTCTTTTAAAGTTGTACCAACATCGAATGCAGATTAATATATTAAATTTAGGTATTTATTAAACCACCATATATTGCGCTCAATAATGAATTTTGGTTTATACTATATTACTCTGAATATCATGTTAAATAATTATATGAAAACTTAATCTATTTTTCATTCAAACTCATGATGTTTTGTTAAATAAGTATATGAAAACTTAATATATTTTTGCAGGCTCTCATTCGAAAGTAAAATGTTATAACAATATGTATGGAAAAAAATTTATAGCATTGTACTTTTGAAGTATAACGGTTTAGTAAGGAAAATATAAATATAAATGGAAAAACGTTATAACATTATACTTTTAAAGTATGGGTAATTACAAAAAATGGCATTCTACTTTGAAAGATATTATGAACCATTTGGTGTTGTTTCAATAATACATTGAAAGATATTATAAACCATAAAAGCGACGAATACATTAAATAATACATTGGTCTTCGAAGAAAAAATGAATCAGTAACACTAATGCTTAGTGATAATTTCCAATACATTGTATCTTATTTTTAATATGATATGTTTCATAAAATAAACTAATCCCTAAATTGAAACTAATCATTGCTCGCCGAAATGAAATTAATTTTCGAAACAAATTATTCGCACCCGTCGCTTAGCGCGGGTAAACGGCTAGTATATATATATATATATATATATATATATATATATATATATATATATATATATATATATATATATATATATGACATATTCCGCCAAAAGCCACATTTACTTTTCATTCGCATCAATAGGCGTGGATGTGATAAAAACAATGACAAATATGACATATGGAGTACACTTTTTGTGTGAATGGAGGAATATATCATAGAATCGATCAGTTAATCCCAAGGGATGGAAAACCTCGGTACTTAAAGTTGTATTTTTACGATGCTGATTATGAGATGTCACATAGACTCAAATCGAAGAATATTGATAAACAAATTGCTCAAAAGTTGATCCGTGTTCTTGCCACAAACCCATACGTGCAAATATTTCGAAGACTTGCCGATCTGGGGCCGCTTGACAATTACAGAGTCACTTTGAATGCATCAGTAGAACTTGACCAAAGGGTATACAATAGATCGACCACATCCAAGGTACCATAATAATTATTGTCTACTAATTATAAAAAAATATATATCATGTATGACATACAACTGTATATATTACAAACCATATATAATCATATCGTTTCCATAATAAAAATTCCAGGTCGCTGGTATTCGGATTGAAGGTAACGAAAACATATCCGCATATAAACGAAGTATTATCATGTATTGCAGATCCGAAAAACCACGAACAATTCAATCTTACTGGGGATGTTATGATCCATTGTGTTATCCTTTATTTTTTCCTAATGGTGAGTCTGGATGACATTCTATTATCCCAAGACATGGATTTCCCATCAATAATATTATTAACGACGACGAAGACATCCAGGATGATTTAGAAGGTACATATATCATAAAATTTTAAATTTTAGTTAAATTAACAAAGATTACATGTTTGTACAAAATTTATTTTTTGTTCACGACATCAATATTGTGTGGACTCTAATACAAAAGGAGGGCGGAATATTGTAAGTATGCGGGAGTACTATTGCTATAAGTTTCAAATCCGGTCAAATTATAATGTAATTTTGTTGGGAGGGAGATTAGTACAACAGTTTATAGTAGATATCTACATCAAGATTGAGACTTCACGTTTAGAGTTTTGTAGAAAAAACCAGTCCAAAATAAGATTTTTCAACGAGACTACTTATATACCTCGCATGAAGTTGACCCCATCCGATAAAAAAATTAAATTCTGTTTTCAACATAGGCAATTCCCAATAGCAGTTTGTTTCGCTATGACCATTAACAAAATTCAAGGACAGTCATTATTAAATGTTGGATTATACTTGTATAAATCTGTTTTCGCCCATGGTCAGTTATATGTAGCTGTTTCTCGTGTAACAAGCAAAAAATGTTTGAAGGTACTCATATGTGACGAGGAATGTCGTTCAACTAATAAAACAAAAAACGTTGTCTACAAAAAGGTCCTGCAACGTTTATAGATATTTATCGATTTCAGTGTTTCTTCTTCACATTTCAATAATAACAATAGTCATAAACTTTCTTTTTTTTTTAATTATTATGCAATATATATAAATGTTTTTTTATTTTTTTAATACGTTCCCCGTGTTTAACGCGGGTTATAATCTAGTAATATATTAAAAGACATTAATAGTATTTTTTTTATCAAACTTAATTTTTCTTTTTTCGCCCTACGTCATTTTCCCTGTTAAAAGATGTTGACTTAGAAAAAAGATGCATATGGTCTTGTAGGAATTCCAACAAACACATGATACGCAATTCAAAGTAACAAAACAATAAAATTTCAAAACTGAGAACTTACGTTACTATCTCACCTAATCCTGCCATTGTCCTCAAATAAAAATAAAAACTTCCAATTAAATATTCTCGAAGATCAATATTGAAACTATTATTAGTCCTCTCGAAAGTCGAAAGTCGAAACTACCTAGCAAAAATCAAAATACGTTGAGATTAAAAATAAATAAATCAAAATAGAAATCACCGACAGTCTTGAAAGTGAAAACCATTAAAAGTTAAAAATTAAAGTAAAATTCGAAAACTTTTTGAAACGTGATATATGCGCTAGCAATCGATTTTGTGTCGTCAATTTTATATGATAAAAAACAGTAAGATAAATTAAAAATTAAAATAATAATAATAATAATAAACATGGGAATCTGAATTCTGAAAATATGGCATGCGGAACCTTTTTCATTTATTTATCACAGAAACGTTGTGTCGTCAACCGACTGGTTATCTTTTTGTAATATAACACGAGGTTGCTTCTAGGAAAACACCGTCTCCACAAAAATACTTAATAAAAGTAATAAAAAAATAAAAACCAATCATAAATTTATAAGATTATTCTCTGTCTTTCAATAAACTATTTTACACAAACATCAAGTATAACTGTGCATTAATTTAGCCTTTTAGGAATTGTTCATCAAAATGTATATTAGTTTGTTGTGGTTTGTTACGGCTAAAATTAGTTTGTTGTGGTTTGTTAAGTCTAAAAGTACTTTTAAATGTTTTAATATAATTACATAAAATAACCGGTTTTGATAACTGTTTTTTTGTAATTTAGTAAAGCTAAATTTTATCGGTAAATCTCCAGAAAAGTCTCAATATTTACGGAAAAAAGTTACACTTTAGTCCAAAGATTTTTTTTTTTGAACGAAAAAGTCCTGAAAATCGGCAAAAATTTACAGTTTGACCATTTTTGACCAGTTGAAAACGGTACCAAATTAATTTGGGACTATTTTGTAAACTAACCCAAAATATTGAGACTTTTCTGTAAACAAAAATATTATATCTTCTCTGTAAACAAAAATATTATGATTTTTCTGCAAACAAAACCTTTATTATTATTATTATTATTATTATTATTATTATTATTATTATTATTAGAAAAAACATCATAAATGGTCATTATGGTTTCTCAAAATCTGAAGTTTAATCTCAGTGGTTTAAAAACATCATAGATAGTCTTTATGCTTTCAAAACTTTTAACGATTGGTCCTTATTGCTAACTCCGTTAAGTTTGTTCGTTAACTGCATGACATTTTCGTAATTTCACTACCACATGGACCATTTCTGATGTTTTTTCTTATTCTATAAAAAAAAAATAAAAAAAAATAATATGTAGAGGGTCTCTCTATCTCTCTCTCTCTTACACTCTCAAAATACTCAATCTTTATGTTTTTTAAACAATTTAAACTTAGAGTTCTAATTCTCCTTTCTCCTCCACCTCATGATCTATATCTATAATATGTCAAACAATTTAAACTTAGAGTTCTAATTCTCCTTTCTCCTCCACCTCCACCCTTAAACAATGTCATTATTTTTTTCATTTAAATGTATTTATATGTTTTATTAACAATATTAATAATACAAGTTCAAAAAGTAGTATTCTTATTTATATTTTTAATAATAATAATAATAATAATATTAATAATATTAATAATAATATTAATAATAATAACACCAATAATAATAATAATAATAATAATAATAATAAGGGTCTTATTTGCAGAAAAGTCTTAACATTTTTTACAGAAAAGTCCTAATATTTTATTTACAGAAAAGTCCCAATATTTTGGGTTAGTTTACGAAATAGTCCCAAATTAATTGGGTACCGGTTTCAACCGGTCAAAAATGGTCAAACTGTAAATTTTTGCCGGTTTTCAGGACTTTTTTGTTCAAAAAAAAATCTTGGGATTAAAGTGTAACTTTTCCGTAAATATTGGGACTTTTCTGGAGATTTCCCAATTTTATCTGGTGGAAACCAAGTACTTTTTTGGTTTTTACCATGGAGGCATGGAGTAACCCTTAATTGAAAAGAAAAAATCATATATTTCTTTATTAAACGTTAAATTTTCATATCAACTTGACCTAATTACTAACTCATATATTTACTTTTTATAAACTTATAAAATATTATATTTATCTAATCCTTATTTTTAATTTTTTTAAATATTTTATAATCATTTTTATTTTTGTCAATTGACCATTATACCCATTTTATAATTGAAACCCATACTTATCTTGAAGACTAGAAAATTGGTCGGGAGTGGGAGTAACAATGATCAGAGAATCCATGACAAGAAGAAGAATCGAGAAAAAGAGTTGTTAAAAAAAGAAGAATGTCAAATGACAACACTTTGTTCCCTTCATCATTTGTGTTGCTTAGAACTCTACTCATGATGTGTTTGTGTGTGTGAAGACCTCTTGTTCCTTAGATCGGTTACCTTGGCCTTGGGTCATTCATGATTCTGTCTGTGGGACGTCACCTAGTTCCCTTGATCGTTTGACTTTCTTGGGGAGAAGAAAAAAAAAGAAAAGAACCAGAAAATATAAAGAATGCCCTGAGCAGAAAATTTGAAAACCCTAAAAAACAATGATAGTAACCGACGTCACGTTCTGGGAAACTGATGTATTGTGCAAGCAAAACAACGAGAACCAAACGAAGAGACAAACATGGCCCGAGCTAGCCTCGGTCATTACAACTAAGCAAGCCTACTGTCACAGTCTTAAATTCAGCACTTTTCCTTGCATGTACGGCGTCTCGAGGTTCCAGTTAGAACCACGAGACCAGCCTACCCAGATACACATGTCAAATGGTTTTGCCCTGTCATGGGCTCATCAGGGAGGCGATATTAGTCCCTGACTAGTGTGTCTAACCCGCGACAATCCCCTTCACAGTCAAGCCTTCTAGCATTTGCAACTCGGCTAGACAGAAGCGACTAGACTAACAACACCCTCATATGCTAATATGGCCCCTATATATCTCAATGGCAAGCTAACCAGCGAAATAGTCTTCTTTCTCTTTGGTCTTCACAGTCACACCAACTTTTGGTTGTGACATTCTCCCACCGCCAAAATATAGCATGTTACGTGTGGCAGGAGAAGAACTCTTGTCCCTTCCAATCTCGATCAACATCACGTAGAGTTGCGCACCGTACTCCCTGATCCCAACCACCCACACATAGGATCAGAATCCACGACATGTGGCGACCCCCATCTACTCTTAGACTTACGCAAGGAGGCGTAGCGGTCCTCGACAGGTCGCCCCTTTAGGCATCCCGCCTGCTAGTCCGCCTCTATGGACCCCACGAAAGTGCGCAACTGACTCAACGTATGTCATATTTGCTCGAACGCGGCTCTAATACCACTTGTCACAAACTTAAATTCAACACTCTTCATTGCCCGTGCAGCGTCCCGAGGTTCCAACTAGAACCACGAGACCAGCCTACCTAGATACACATGTCAGTTGGTTTCGTCCTGCCATGGGCTCATCCGGGAGACGGCATTAGCTCCTGACCAATTATGTCTAGCCTGTGATGGTCCTCTTCATAGTAAAGTCGTCTAACATTTATGACTTGGCCAGACGGAAGCGACTAGACTAACAACGCCCTCACTGACTAATACAACCCTTATAGATCTCAATGGCAAGCTAACCAGCGGCATGGTCTTTGTCACACCCCAAAACCGGAACGGCGGAAACGTTTTGGGGTGGAGGACGTCATGTTTAGTATCACAAGTCATGCATCATAGTAAGCAAAGTAATTTACAACCATTTCATTAGAAAGAAAGTGTTTACAAAGTATGTGATTCACATAATATAGAATACATAGCAAATAAAAAAAAGACATGAAGTTATACTGCTCCATCTTCTGAATCCCAGTGCGCGTACCTGTCTACTGGTCTCCTGAGAATACAAATTATTTTGAAAGCGTAGATCAACATTTAAGCTGGTGGGTTCATAAGATTTTAGTGATGTAAGTAAGTTGTAAGAAAGTTGTAGTAAGTTTGTAAGTTCTGTTTAGAAAAGTTTGCATGTTCCTCCAGAAAATCCTATATTTCCTGCTTTGATGAAAGATAAGTAAAAATGACTCTACAATCCTTTCTATGAGTACTAAATGGATACAAGTTATATAAAACTCAGAGTAAACAATCGGTTGTGTGTATCTGTCCTAAGCCCACAACCAAACAAGGAACAGAGAATGAGGCGGAAGACATACATCCCGTTATTTGTTAGGTCATCGTTGTATATAACCCTGGCGTATCCACTTGGTACTCACGGAGTTAACTGTAATAGTTCCTTTATATTTGATGAAAAGATTCTTTAAGAAAACCCTTATTTCTTTTAATAAAAATGGTAACCACAGTGGTTCCTTCTATAATCACTTAGTTTATACTAGCTATATATAATCTAATATCGAACAGATAGTTGATTGTATGAATCTGCCCTAAGCCCACAACCAAACAAGGAACAGGAAATGAGGCGGAAAGCACACATCCAACTACCTATCAGATATTAATTATATATAACCTTGATGTATAAACTAAGGTATTATAGAATTAACCACCTAAGGTCCTTGAAGTTATACTGGTTTAATAAAATGGATTAAACCCTTTACTGGGTAAGTTTCTAGTTTTGTATACCAAAAATTCTTATTTGAAAAGTGTGTTTTGTACTAGAAAACGGTGCATGGAATTAGTGTACTATGACCTGGCCCATACCTGGTACCCCTTATGATTACTTGGTGTATACGGAACATATATATAGCTAAGATCGGATAGATAATAGGCTGGGTGAATCTTCTCTAAGCCTACAACCAAACAAGGAACAGGAAATGAAGCGGAAAGCACACATCCTACTGCCTGTCGGATCCGATTAATATATATCCCTGAATGCATACACTAAGGAATCATAAAGTTAGCATTATAGACCCCCTTTCTACTGAATGTACTAGACTCGACTGTTCTGATTGTCGATTGTAAAATGTAAGTTTTCCCTAGTTTATAACTATCTTGACTCGAAAATAGTTTGCATTAACTTTCAAGTGGAACTGTCACAAAATGAAAGTAATGGGAAAATATAAGTACACAGTTGTCTTTTGAATTGACATCCTGCAATACTGATTACCTTAAAACATGTTTGTTTTATTAAGGTCATAATGTGATGAATAGTCCCCATACTATACGCTCTCCCTGCAAGAGATTCTGGGAACCAAACGCGACTGCAGCAAACCGGTTGCTGAGCCGTGAAGTAGGCTCACATTAAAGTTATACGATCATGTATACCCAATTTTACTATCATCTTTGTTTAGAACAATGAGTTAGTGATTCATTGGTATACTTAGATCCTGTAGTTGTTCTTATGCTATAACATCTTAGTATGTTCGTTCTGTTATAGTATCTTAGTATGTTCTCTTTGTTATAGTATATAGTATGTCTCTCTGATGCACTGTAACTACCTTCATGTTTCTTTTTATAGTATGTTCTCCATGTTATCGTGTATTGTATCTACCTCCCTGATTCTCTTTATAGTATGTTCTAGCATCTAGTATGAACTGAACCTCTAAACTATACCCCTTATAGTTTACTAGTGTTTTACTTGAACTGTTACTGAAAATACTCATTTTTCTACTAAGTTATGATTGTACTTTAAAAACGGAGTTTTGTTAAACTATAAAGTAACATAACTTTACAAGAGTTTTTGAAATGTTTTGATCACTTATAAAAGACATAAACAATCTTTTGAAAGATGTTTTATAACAAATATTTTTCACAATTATCATTGTGTTCAACTTGTATTCCCCCCCCCTCCCCTTAAAAGCATTTAAAACAGTTAAAATATTCATTATAGGGGTATGGACTCACCTTATGTGGGTGATTCAAACGAATATGCGCGTAAGGATGAGAAGTTCCACGAATGAAGTCCCGAGACACAACGAGTCCTAAATGACATATTATGGCATATATTGGCATAAATATAGGGTTTAGAAGCAACCACATGCAAGGAAACACCTTTAGGGACTAGGAAGCACTTGGACCAAGTGTTAGAATCACATGTGACTCATCTAAGGGGAGTGTACGACCACAATGAGGAGTGTGCGGGCATGGGTGTACGTCCATGGAGTGTGCGGCCGTACACTCATGGTAGTAAGTGCACAAAAGTGTTTTCTAATGATAGGGAAGCTTGTGGGACAATTGCTCATCAAGTGTTGAAGCTAGGATTGCACTTTGAAGGCCCTTTAGGGGTGTTTTGAGGGGTGTACGGCCACACATGGGTGTACGGCCGTACACTCCTTATGTTATTGAGTTCTAGACATTTTTAGGGTGTTAATCTAGTGTTCTTATCAAGTTCTAAGCATAGGGAAGGAGTACTTTCGATCTGGAGGCTCAAGAAGGTTCACAATCACCAAGAACAAGTTTGTGTTCTTGGTGTTCTTGGTGAAATGGATGAAGATTTGAAGATCTATTCAAAAGATGATTTCAAATGGATGAAATCAAAGGGCGTTACTAGGGGAATAAGGATAACAACAAATCAAAACGGAAGAAAGGATTACATTCTTAAAGATCGGGTGAAAGGCTCGATGATAGTTGAGAGAGAAATCGATGTTCTTGACTTGGAAACTGAGGAAATGGCTTGGAAATGGAAGGATATCACTCTTATGGAGGGGGTGTACGGCCAACATGGGTGTATGGCCGTACACACATGTGTGTACGGCCGCACACTCATGTGTACCGTCGTACACTCCCTCAAATGGAGTGTAGGGCTTGATTTCAAGGCTAGGAACTTACGCGACCGAATCCTATACTCAATGTTTGAATGTACTGAGCTTTGAACCCTTAAACAGACTCTAACCAAGGGTAATTGATAGCAGAAACGAGTCTGACACTTGGTTAAGTTGAATGGCTGAACTTACAAGGTAAAAATTTTCAGGTTGTCACAGTCTTCTCTCTTTGGTCTTCACGGTCACACCAAGTTTTGGTCGTGACACTACGCCATAATGGCTAAGACTAGGGGACTTGATAACGTGCCTCCTAGCCACGTCACAAAGGCTAATAGTGCTTATGCCAAATCCCTCAAAACAGACACAACCTTCACCATCCTAGCATGACCCGCAGCAACAACATTTTGGCAACCCTGTTGGCTAGCAATAGTTACAGCACGCCTCTGTCATTCCCCGCTACCCGACGTCCATCCTAGAACACCCTCAGTTAAGTCTCCAGGCGACAAAAGAGCACATGCAGTCTCTAGTGATAGTGGTGCATGCGTCACTATCACCGCTAAGCCAATCACAGCTCAACACATGAGACAAATGTACGATCCACCAATCAACGTTACTGCCCCGATTCGGGTCTGATACCCCTGTCTCCTATAGTGGGATATGTGTCAAACGCATCACTATAAAAGGTCGCATGCCTTTAACAGTAAAAGGATTTCATCCTCTACTCTCTAAATACTCATATTTTCACCTCCACCAGAGACTAACTTAATCGTCGGAGCGTTCTCTCGGGACTTCCTTCCGAAGCACGGCTAACTAACCCTTTTTTTATTGTGATTTAGGTCTCTACCTCATCACGACGTTCCACTAACGGAGTTGACCCAAAGATCAACTTCACATCAGTGGCTATCCTACATTGCCAACCGACGTCATTACCCTACACATACCTTGGTCTTCCCATCTGAAAGAACATATCTTTAATACAAAATTCGAAGCTGGTGATCGACAGGTTCCAATCTAGACTTACACTCATCAAAGTGGTGCTTGGGAGCCTTCTAATTTATTTCTTTTGTTTGTTTAAAGCTCCTATTTGAGTCATTGATGAACTGGAACGTGTTCGGAAAACCTTTCTTTGGGTGGAAATTCTTCAAACAAATATATGTTGGGTGTCGTGGGAAAAAGTTATGGCGCCAAAAATCTAACGAGGGTCACGGTGTGGGTAGTTTGATTGCCTCGAATGTCTCTCCAACTTGCTAAATGGTGTTAGAAATATAAGAATGACCCGTCAAAACATTGGGCAGGAACAATTAGGGCTATTCATGATAGCAACTGGACTTGAAAATTCATCTCATTCAAATTAGAGATTTCTAGTGTTTTCCAAAATCGGGTCGGATCTATCAAATATTAGGTTTTGGTGTGAGTTGATTTCCTTTAATCATACAACAATAGTTTCTCTTCCCAATTTGAAGAGAAGATCCTGTAACTTTACTTTCCAATTGATCCACTTTAATTGCTCACTGTAGCCCTAGTCATTTAAAAATCTTTGGTGCGTTTAAAAAAAATAAAATCAAATTTGTCTAGTTGCTGGGTCCGTCCTGGGTGCTTATGACAGCACTATGACGTCATCTAAATTCGTAGTATCGTCGTCACCTGCTGTTCATGGAGACCAGAAAGGCGGAAAGTCTATTTATTTAGAATATTTTATGGTCCACACCAAAGCCTTTTATAACAAAGATAGTTGTTAGACATAGAGATGCGTGATTTGTATGTGTGAGAGTCGTAATTGCAAAGAAACTATGGGGATCGGAGAATATATATAAACCAATAATACACCCATGTGATATGTGAGGAGCTCGTTTATATTAAGAGGGAGGTTTTGGTGAGAATATAATAGAATTATTGTTAGGGCATGGAGAGAGATCAGAAGAAGCGGAGTAGGGCGGTGGATGGCGGTAGCGGAGGAGGTGGACATCGGAAGAAAGAAAAGGATGGGAAGGGGAAGATTGTAGAGATCGATTCGGTGGTGGTGCCTCCTCCGACGGAAGATGAGGTAGATGAATTTTTTGCTATTCTGCGACGGATGCGGGAGGCGGTGAAGTACTTCGAGAAAGGTAACGTTGGATGTAAATTATCGGATCCATCACGAGAACCTGATGATGGTTTAGCTTCTGTGAACAAAGGAACGAACGTTGCACTTTTGGATCTGAATACCGTTCCTGACGAGGGAGAATAGCATCTTCTACGGTGGCGCGTGGGGTTTGTCTTTGTTAACTGCGCTCGTGGCGCGTCTTAGTTTAAGCCTTGCTGCCTGGCTTCGCTGGCTATCTTGCGCTCATGTAACTCACCTGGTCGGGTCATTCGGCTGGGTTTTGACCCAGAATGTTAAAAAATATGAAATATTTTGTTTTCTTTGTTAATTTTTCTACACATGGCTCATGTATGTGTAATTTGATTAAAAAAAAGGTACCCATCAACGGGCCGGTAAGGTAAATTATTTTGCCTTGGAAGATGATAATTGACGATGATTATAGCTGAGTCTTTATGTATGTATTTTTATATTTTAAATTAAATGGTAGAACGAGAATGCAAGGAAAAGATGATCGAAAATAAGGAAACAGATCGCATATTGCTTTATGGCGAACAAGATATCTTTCAATAATGAATGATTAAGATTTTTAATTATTGTACTTGATTTTGTTTTTAAAAAAAATATAATTTTACAATGAAAATAAAAATATCATACTTTTAGCGGAACTTAAACATTCCTCAAAGTTGTGTTAATTATTTTCATAAAATTACAACTAATAATTAACAATTTCTTTACGTTCTTTATCTTCTAATTACATTTAATCGATCATTAAAATTTTTGTTTAGGTTCTCGATATAATATTTGGGTAGATTTCAACTGACTAAACTGATATTAAATCATACATCGTCTCTTGTGACATTCAAAAAATCTAATCACTAAAATGGAGGATTATACATGGGTTAAAAACCCATTTTCAAGCCTCATTGGTGCAAATCATACACTTCTTTTTCTGTCCGTCAGGTGTTCGATAAAATGTCTAAAATGTTTTTTTCAAGTGGTGTTCGATAAAATGTCTAAAATGTTTTTTTTCAAGTGTTGCAGCCATTTTAGGACCCAAAAAGATGTAGTCTCTTCTGAGGTGGTTTTTCATTGTGCACTCCAACCTTTTGTTGGAATGTCACATTTTAATTTGGATTTTTGCTTCTCATTCCGAGCCTCCCCTTGAGGCTTTAATAAGATTTGTTTATATGTTTATGGCGTCTTCTCATACATATGCGAGCAGAACTTGGCCGTGTCCTTTTCGGGGGTTTCATTGCTGCCCGAACGGTGAAGTGGGTGGTAAGGGGATATCTCGTATGATTTCTCATATCAAAAGTTTGCACCTCTCTACGGATGAGCGTAGAGCTGTGTTGCGAGATGTTATTTCTTTAGACCTTGGACTGTTTATGTTAGTGACAGCAACATTGAAGGAGTTTGGTCAATGGATATGTGGAGAATGTGAGTCTCCATGCCCTAAGTCGCTCGTGTCAACACTCAGGTGGTCTTGTTAAATTTAATGGTGATGTTGATGACATGAGCGGACATATTGTTGGAATTCAAAAACCGCCACCCAATGAACCGGATGCCAACCTCAATGAGGGGTTGGTGTTGGATGCTCAGCTCCTTGATCTTGTGTTTAAGCTACCTATCACCACAGTCAAAAGCATCCCTCATAACTGTCGCATGGCTTTCTCTCAGGTTTTGAAAGCAACCCTTTCCAAGGTTGCTGCTCATCCCGGGTCCATTGAAGCGTGGGTTACATTGTTAGTTCTTCCTAGGTGTACTCTTCAGGTGTTCAGGCCCAAGAATAGACGAGAAAGTAGGTCTGGGAATAGGAAGTCCTTGCAACATCGTAACATCTTAAGCTCATTAGCTACTTAGGGTACAGAAAATGGTATAGCCAAGCTTATTAAAAACTTGGTTGGCAATGTAAGGATGGAGCAACAAGGCAAAAAAAAAGAGTACATTCAGGAGGATAGAACACGGGGTGACGCTAACGTCAGACAATGTCTTCGTAAGGTTGCTGATGGGCATTTCACAGCAGCAGTGGAAGTATTATGTTCCTCGAGGGTTGCTCCATACAGGGATGCTACCACGAAGGCATTGGAGGATAAGCATCCACACAAGCCACCACCATCCATGCCGAGTACCATATGTTCAGTACCTCCCCTTGTGGTTGATATTGACAGTGTCATTGGGGGCATTAAATCATTCCCTAAAGGAACCTCGTGTGGGAGAGATGGGTTGAGAGCTCAACACATTTTAGATGCTCTTTGTGGAGAAGGTTCAGCAATTGCCAAAGACCTCCTATGTTCTATCACATGTGTGATTAATTTATGGCTAGGGGAGATGCCCTTCGAGTTTGACGGAGTTTGTTGCCTCTGCTCCTCTTACACCGCTTCTAAAACCTGACAAGGAAATACGACCTATTGCAGTAGGAACTATATAGAGACGTTTGGTTTCCAAGCTGGATATGAAAGGTGTTGGTAAAGAAATGGCCAAGTATCTCAATGATTTTCAATTCGAGGTCGGGATGTAAGGTGGCGCTGAAGCTGTATTACATAGCGCCAATAGGGTGTTGAGTGAACGCCACAATGACATGTCTCTTTCCATGCTTATTGTGGACTTCTCTAATGCATTTAACCTTGTTGACAGATCCACATTACTTCATGAGGTCAGATTGAGGTGTCCTTCTATATCTTTGTGGGTAGAATTCCTATATGGTCAAACAACAATGTTATATCTAGGGGACACGCATATTTGGTATTCTACTGGAGTTCAACAAGGAGACCCCTTGGGACCACTTCTCTTTGCCCTTGTGTTGCACCCGCTCTTGCATAATATTAGAGACAATTACAAGCTTCTTCTCCATGCATAGTACCTGGATGATGACACACTTATTGGAGATTCTGAGGAGGTGGCCAAAGCCTTAGACATCATTAAGGCTATTGGCCCAAAATTGGGCCTTCAGTTGAATATCAGTAAAACCGAGCTCTTTTGGCCCTCGTGTGATGGAAGGAAGCTGCGTGAGGGGCTATTCCCGGTTGGCATCGGGAGGCCGCCATTGGGGGTGAAACTTCTCGGGGGAGCTGTTAGCAGAGATGCTAGTTTCATTAGCAACTTAGCCATAAAGAGAGCTGAAGGCGCTGTAAATTTGATGCGCCTTCTTCCACAATTGTCTGACCCACAGAGTGAGCTACTTCTACTTCGGTCTTGTATGGGTATTGCTAAACTTTTCTTTGGGCTGAGGACGCGCCAACCCGTTCATATGGAGGAGGTGGCGTTGTTATTCGATAATGGATTACACGCGGCGATTGAAGACATTTGTGGTTTGTGGTGGCCCCTTCTTTGGCGACTTACAGTGGCGACTTGCTTCCCTACCCATTTGGTTTAGTGGTTTGGGTTTATACTCGGCAGTAGAGGCTACCTCATATGCTTTTGTTGCCTCAAGGGCCCAATCTTGGGTATTGCAAGACCACATCTTAGGGGATAGCAAGATTTATGGTATGGATTCTGATTATGCTTGTGCCTTAGATTCTCTTCGTAACAAGCTTCCGGACATTGACCTTAGCAGTTTTACTACTAAGGACATCGCCCCCTAAATCCCAGAATACACTGGCGAGTGCCCTTTTTAGTAAAATTATCCAAGATATGGAAGTGAATTTCAATATGACGGCTCGGCAGAAAGCAGTTTTCCAGTGTTTACGTGCACCACATGCTCAAGATTTTCTTCTAACTATCCCTATAGATGGGATTGGCCAACATATGTCTCCGGTGGAGTATCGTACCATCCCCAAATATCGACTCATGATTCCAATATTCCCAGCCGATGGGATATGTCCGGTGTGTCGCAAGGCATGTTTGGACTCTTTCGGCGAGCATGCCGTTCATTGCAAAGAACTCCCGGGGTTCAAATATAGGCACGATATGGTTAGGGATGTTTTGGTCGACATATGTAAGCGTGCCGGGGTTTCCGCCAAGAAAGAGACTCCTGTGAATTTCCTGACTGACCCGACAGAAGGAAGGTCAACCCTTAGACCATCTGACGTTTTGATTTTTGGATGGGTTGGAGGGAAACACGTATGTGTGGACCTTACAGGGGTATCCCCTCTCGTAAGCTTGAGGGCCGGGGGTTTCACGATGGGACAGGCTGCATTAAAAGCTGCTACATGCAAGGTCACCAAACATGAGAAACCGTGCATGGAAAATCAACACACGTTCATACCATTTGCATTTGATACGTTTGGTTTCCTTGCGTCGGATGCTGTGGAGCTTCTTAGTAGACTACAACGGATCATGCATGGCAATGTTATATCCCCTAGATCTATGAATGTAGTCTTCAAAAGAATTGACTTTACCATACAAAAGGACTTAGCGGCGCAACTTGTTGCCCGTTTGTCTTCTCATTCGTTGTATGATGATAACTAAAAATCTGATTATTTATATTTAAAAAATTACATAGTTTGTTGTTCATTCACGTCTATTTGTATTTTTCTATGGCATTGCCTTTATTATCCCATCTTATACGACCAGTCTTAAATGCATTTTAATAGTGTATTAGAACACATAATAAAAAATTACCCACCTATAGAATACAATTAATAGTGTAATGATAACACATAATAATAAAAATACTCACCTATATAATACAATTAATAGTGTAATGAAAACACATAATAAAAAATGTTTATATATATATATATATATATATATATATTATATATATAGAGAGAGAGAGAGAGAGAGAGAGAGAGAGAGAGGATCATTTGAGAACTCATAGTGTCCCGAGAACCCGAGAACTAAAGGTGGATCGTTAGATCAAAATCTTAAATGGTTTGGATTGATCATGGCATAATTGTAATTATCTTTTGTTTCAATGGCATCTTAGACATTTTATAGATAAACTGAAGGGCATATTGGGAATTAAAAATGTCATCCATAATAATTAATTTAACAAATTAAAAAACCCATTTTTTCTCACAAATACACGTACGTCTTCCCCTTTTCTCTCTCATCTCTCATCTCTCTCATCTCTCAGCCTCTTCACAATCACGACTGCCTCCCCACTCCATCCTCCGCCTCCTTCTGACGAATCTCTTCCTGCGCGATCTCTCCACCGCCGATTCCTACTAAAATTACCACCACATTCAGCATCGAGCTCGATG